ACCCTGCTCCACAGCCCCTGGCTCCATCCTGCCCAAGGCTGGGGACCTGCAGCCCTCAGTAATGCAGGCAGCTGGTGTCAGCTCCTCCTTCCCCAGTACATCACCTTCCTCACAGTTTCCCACTGCCTGCCTGTCCCGGTCACTTCCCTGCCCCTACTGCATCTCTTTCTGCATCAAGTCTCCATCATAGCCCTTTTCCCATTACATCCCCATCCCCATGTCCACTGCATCCTCCTCACCACTAGCAGGATCATGGAAGGGGGATGACTTGGAAAGGAAACTAAGGCAAGGGGAGGAGGGCTGCGGTGGCTCATGTGGCACTGCTGGGGGGAACCAGCCATCCTGGTTCTCAGCCCTGGCTGAGATGGAGAGCCAGCATAGAGCTGAGAAACCTCCAGAAATATTTCCTGGGCTGGTGGGGGCTTAGGTGGCGTGTGCTTGTGTGCGCATCCCCCATGGGCTGCAGTCTCTGCTGCTCCCTGTCCACTCTCTGTGTGTGAAGGTGGCGTTTGGGGGCTCCTTTTCCAGCTGCACGGTTACAAGTGTCCCTCACGTGCCTGTCGTGTGGAGAGGGAGGCCCAGACCCAGATCCCCACGGTGGGATGGGAGCCGGAGCAGCGGTCCCACGGGGGCTGCTGTCATGTCCTCCCCACAAAATTCCACTCTCCTGGCTGGAGGAGGGGTTCTGGGGGGCTGCTCATCTCCCCCTCCCCCATTTATCTCTCCATCTGGCGGTCCTGCCGCACTCGCTCCCTCTCTCTGGCTGGTGAAGACACCCAGCTTTGAAGCTGCGTTGAAATATAGATAAGGGCGAAGGCAGCAGCCAAGCTCAAAGAGAGATTCGGGAGGGAGCTGGGGGACGGCCAGTCCAGAACGGGGGGCTGCAGGGATGCTCAGCTGCAGCTTCGCATTGTACAGCCCCCTGTCCCTTTTCCCCAGGTTGGTCCTCTGACCCCACATATGCTCCTCTCTTTCCTATAGAATTGAGGCCAGGCAGCCCTGCCTGGACAGGCCAGGTCCCTGGGCAGAGTCTGAGCCCTGGGGCAGAACAGCCAGTGTTGGTAAGGGCTTCCTGGTTGCCTCCTCCTGCCCGTGTGGCGTGGGGACAGTGAGCACAGGCTGGAGCAGATTTACAGGCTCAGCCTCGCACACAGCATTCAGGGGATAAGGCAATAGATCCTGGAGACAGCAGTGCGCAGCCTGGCCAAGACTCTGGCTCAGTAGCTGGAGAGAAGTGGGCAAGCACAGGGACTCACGCCTGAGATAGTACCCCCTGGTGCTGCTCCATCCTTGGTGGGTGCTCAGTGAAGACCAGTCCCTGCAAAGAAACCTTCCTGACTGCAGAGGAAGGGGCCCAGGGTGCTCAGACCTCTCTGATGTAGGGGGCATGGGAAGAGTGCTCCAAGGGGGAAATGGGGTGGAGCTATTCTGCCAATGCTGCAGGGTGGCTGGTGCCAGAATGAGATCCCAGCAATGGCAGGCAGGAGCCACCCCCAATTCCTCCATCCCTGTCTCCAGCCCCACTGGCTCGGATTCAGCGCTGACGCATGCCTCAGTTTTCGACGGGGCTGCAGACCTCCACTCTCCGCAAAGGCTTCTGCTTGCCACCTCCTACCCTGCTCCCGTCCTCTCTGCATCCCCCTTGGGAAACAGGTCATCCAGAGCAAAAAATGCCAGAGCAGCCGAGCACCTGCCAGCTCAGGGGCGACAGTGATTGACGAGGCTGGGGCTGACGGAGCAGCATCCTGCAAGCCAGGAGCAGCTGGCAGGGCAGGCAGGGGCACACCGGGCACCAGCCTGCAGAGCCAAGAGCAGCCAGGCTGAGGGATGGGGAAGCAGCGGGGCAGGCAGGCTTGGGCAAGGTAGGGACATGGAACACGAAAGAGACGGGGTCCCAGGCCTGGAGAGGTGTCAGCTGGCTCTGTTTGCTGCTGCTGAGCCATGCAATGTCAGTCCTGGCAGCTGGACAGACAGAGCGACAGCCTCAGGAAACCTCAGGAAGGGGACACTGCAGTCCTGTACCCAGCTGACCCAGCACCCCTTGGGTGTACAGAGTCCCCTCCTCCACTGGTTTGGCCAGGAGATGCTACAGGACACCCCAATGCTGGCTGCATCTCCAGGGGTTCCTGGTGTGCAAGTGCCCATCAGCACATCCTTAACTGGGCTCACAGCTTGCTCAGGTTGGAGAGACCAGGCAGCTGGTCTTCATCACAGCTCCCTGCCTCAGTTTCCCCCACCAGGAGAGGAGCTGCCTCTCCCCACCCTGTGAGAACCCTTGCCAAGGGCTTCTGGCTCTGTTAGATGAGGGGCTGTCCCTGTGCCAGAGGAGGAACCTTACAGCTGTCTGGTGTTTTCTTCCCCCACTGCTGCCAATCTTCTCTGCTTTTGCTGCAAATACCTTCCCTCTCCAGAATGCAGGAAGTAAACCCAGCCCACTCACCCACCCCGGCAGAGCAAGGGTTCCCTGTCATTCCTTGTGTGCCCCCCCGTTCACACAATCCACCCCACTCTTCAGCTGAGTCCACCAGGTGCAATTATCCTGGAGGGCGGAGCCGCTGCAGAGTAGCCTGGCAGGGGTCTCTAATTTCAGCTGCAGATCAGAGGCGCTGGGTAATGCAATTAGGCTTCCCTGGCAGGCGGTTGATGCCTCCTCCTCTCTGTACATGCTGCTGCCCCCCCACCCCCCTGCATTTTAACAGGCCTTAGCTGTGGGGGGGCTGGCGATCATGAATTGTCCAGCATCTAGCTTCTTCCTGTTGCAGGGACATGGGTGATGTTGGAGGAGCAGGCAGGAAGACAAGCAAGGAGGTGGCAGGCACAGCTCATGAAGCCTTTGCTCTCTTTCCCCCAGACGGTGTGTGCTGAGGGTCACATTGCCAAGACCCTGGGATACCTGCAGCTGGGCACCTCTGGCCTCCTCAAGGATGTCCCCTACGGCACCCTGAAGCCCCCGGTGTTTGACCTTGAGCGGCTGATTCCAGCCGAGTCCCCCCGCGGTGCAGGGACACCCTTGGGTGCTGTGCAGAGCCCCTGGGAGTGGCAGAAGAACCAGACAGCTGGGGAGGTGCTGAGTCCCCGTGCCCGGCGCAAGCCTTCACTCAAGTCTGGCCGCACCAAGAAGATCTTTGGCTGGGGTGATTTCTACTTCAACATCAAGACGCTGAAGTTCAGCCTGCTGGTGACAGGGAAGATCGTCGACCACATCAACGGGACCTTCAGCGTTTACTTCCGCCACAACTCCTCCAGCCTGGGCAATGTCTCGGTCAGCATTGTGCCCCCCTCCAAGGCAGTGGGCTTTGAGGTGGTGGTGCCAGCTCCTCCACCTCTCCCACGCCCACCTCCCCAGCAGAGCACCCTGCCAGAGGGGCGCCCAGCCAAGGCCCTCAACTGCCATGTGGAGTACGAGAAGACCAATCGGGCACGGAAGAACAAGCCCTGCCTGTACGACCCTTCCAAGGTGTGCTTCACTGAGCACACGCAGAGCCATGCTGCCTGGCTCTGCGCCAAGCCCTTCAAGGTCATCTGCATCTTCATCTCCTTCCTTAGCATCGACTACAAGCTGGTCCAGAAGGTCTGCCCTGACTACAACTTCCAGCACGACAACCCCTACTTTGGCTGACGGCTGCAGGAAGGGGTGGTGGGTACTGGAGCTGGAGGCAGGTGGAGGTCAGGGGCTCCTGCACCCCATGCTGGCTGCACAGTGCCCCCCATTGCCTCCGCACTGCTCCCTCCCCCTTCATTGCTGCAGCATCTCCTTGGGGCACAGGAGTGGGACCAGGGCTAGCCCGCCTGGGGCATGGCTGGCACAGGCGGTCCCAGACCCACTGCCAGCTATGCTCCCATCTCTGCAGCTAGGTGAGGGGGTGCAGGTGAAGAGCCCAGCCCCTCCACCCCATCCTGGGAGCTGGGCTACGGTCTCCAGGCACGTGTGGATGAGTGTGTGTGGGGGTACTGCCCCTTGCAACGGCACTGCGGGTGGAGTCATGGTGCTAGCGAGCAGCTGAGGCTTTTGTCTTTCTGCAGCCTTGGGAGATGTGCATGTGTGTGCATGTGTGGACACGTGTGTGCACACCACTCTGTATGTGTGCAAGGGCATCTGTCCAGGTATTTTGGAGCCTTTTTTCCCCATTGGCCCCTCCTGCACTGCTGCAGCGTTGAGGCACCAAACCAAGTCCCTGGTGCCCCACTGAGTCCCCCGGGGAAGACCCTGCTCAGATTCGCTGCCCCTCACTCGATGTGCAGCTCCCCCAGCTGCCTGCCAGCATTCAGTGAAGAAGCGCTGGCAGGGCCCTTGCTGGGGACTTCCATCACTCTGGCTCTGGGCAGGGGCTTCTTCATATTTTTTTTAAGAAAATTAAAATGGAAAAAAGTGGAAAATAAAAACATCAGGAAAAAAAAAAAAAAAGGAAAAGCGGTGAAGTGTGCTGATGGGAACCCCCCCGCGGGGCAGGGCCCGTCCTCCCGCTGCCCCTTGAGATGGAGGGACGGGAGTAAAGGGGGACGGGGCGGCGGCCTGCGGGGGGTAGGGATGGGATGCGGACAGCTCGGC